ACCGCTCGGCCGTCTGCGACTCCCGCGTGACCTTCTGCCCTCTGGTGGTGACGTGTGACGGTGTGTGGGGACACGATGCCAACGTGTTCATCGCCCACATGGCTCATGCGCTGTTGGAGAAGGAGGGGTGGAAGGGTCGGGGGTTCAGTCATGTGTCTGGATGGATTCGCTCTCGCTTGTCTATCGCCCTCGCGCGTGCGACTAGCTTCTGTCTGCGTGGGGGAGGGAGGGGAGGGTTTGCGGGACTGGGGTGTGCTGATGGGGCGGGGATTGATCCCTCCTCCCCTTGAGCCTGTTTGAGTCTGCGTGCTGATGGGACTGTATTTGTATGAGTATCACGGACACACAGACGAGTGTTACGGTTAATGACAGTTCTCCCCCCAATGAATGAAAGGCGCACACACTGACATTCTCCAGCCTAGCCTCAGGGCGGGCGGCCGCGTGAGAGAGATAATCAACCGATCGCATCCAGCACTCGTCCACTTGTCCACACATCGTCCCGATGAACGCGCATAACGCGGACACGTACCAGGACCCACACGCAACCAGGACAAACTCACGGCAAAATCCACATAAAATGAGCGTATAATACATGGCACGTGGCATGGCACGCCATTGGTGCAGAGGCCGCACATCGCAGCGAAGCCCATTGAACATACACACTCACCACACCAAGTCTGCATGACGGTATCCCCATTCCTACAGTCGCACAAATCAACTACTACTGATCGGCCGACACACGGCGACCTGACAGATCAATGAATGGATGGATGACCCACAAAATATCTCACACAACCAGCAGCACTGCAGGATGATCTTACTCACTGACTGTTCTAGTCGGTCTTTCCTAGGTGTCATTCGTGTGGCTTGACCATGAGAGTGTTGTGTACGTTCCAAGCAATGTACTCGAATCGCCCCTCCAGCCCCTCAACGGTGTCGCCATTGGTTCGTTCCTCCACCAGCCGCTTGAAGGCGCCAGATTGCACACAGAGCTTGAGCACTTTGATGCCTCGGATCTTGAGCAGCGACTTGACGCAGGCAATGCCGAACTCGCCAGCGGCATCGCCATCACCCAAATCCCGAGGCACTGCAGCAGTGACACAGGCAATGGCACACGAAGAGAGGCAGCATGGGATGGGCAGTTCAGATGAGAGACAGAACCTATGACTCACCCAGTACGCTGACATCTAGCCGTGTGATGGTCGGCAGCTGCTCGGCACGGTCGCCCCACGCAAGTCCGCCCTCACACACACCAGTCACGCACTTGGCCTCGAAATATTCCAATGCCTTGTCCCCCCCAGCGCCTCCAGCAGCCTCACTGCGCTGCCCTTATTCATCTTACCCAGCGCCATCTCTCTCACGGCGGGCATTCTGGTGACCAGCTTGCTTCCGATCACAGAGCCCTTCTCGTGGTTGACTTCAAAGCGATACGCGTTAGGGAACGCGTCGAGGGGCATCAGGTCGATCACAAGCGGGTCGGGGTCCTGGGGCTCCGCTCCGTCGGCGGCATTGGGGAAACCCACCTGGACGGAACGCTCCTCCTCCCTGACCTCGACTGCCTTGGCACACACACAGCCCAACACAAGGCCAGTTCACTCCCCCTATCTGTTTGCAAGTGAAAAGTGTCGCCTTTGCCGACATTCGAAAGAAGTGTCTCGCCGACCCATGAGCCACCAACCAAAGAAGTGAAAAGTGTGTCAGAAGCTGTCGGCTTGGCACGAGCCGTCACATTGGTCTCCCCGCAATTCTTTCATGAGGGCGTCTTTCTCCCTGAACGCCGTGGGGTTGGTCGAGACCAACAAGCTGCCATCTGAAGAGACACGCACCCGAGTGGCCTCTCCGGCATCAGCAAATGCTGCTTGTGTCTGTGTCTTACCTTTCTTGACACGCAGGATAGCGAGCTTCACGTTTTTCCAGGCGGCGCGGACCCTGTCCAGCTCGCTGGCACCACGCACACTTTTCTTGGGGCCAAAGCGGTCGAGCAGACCCTTCGGATAGAGAAACTTCCTGGCCGGAATCTTGTCTCCAGAAAAGGATGGATCCAGCACTCGCACGATCTGTCGCTGCACCTCCTTGTTGTCAGACATGGCGCTGGGCTGACAGCGGATAAGATAGAGGTACCCGCCCTGCTTTTCTTTCTGGCCGAAGTTCTTTTCACTGCACACACACACAGAGAAATCGCCCATCCACCCATCGAGTGTGTGTTGCATGAGGGTACTAGTAGCCAATGCCGTTCCACATGGCCAGCCCTCCCCGCTCGTGAGCACGGGCAAGTGCCTTGTTCTTTTGCGCATTGGCGGTGCCCTGACAGAGACAGAAGAGACAGAAGCATGGCGGTGGAACACGTACTCACTCCCATGCTGCACCACCTCACCCCGTGTGAATCGACTATTCCGCCACGAGCCATCTCAAAAGCTAGATTGTCCATGATCCAGATAGCGTCCTCCGGCCCGTGCGCCGCCACACTCACGTACAGCCTGAATTTGCCCTCCTTGGTAATGCCATATTTGCCGTAGAGGGCGTTGGCAGCAAGGTCTTGCGCTGGAAGATCAACCGCTGATCGTGCACACGCAACGACAGAAAAATGCTACTGGATGTGCGTGTTATCGTTGCTAAGGGACACCTGTTTTTTTGGGTCGAATGAAGGCCAAAGGAAAGGCATCGAGCTGATGCGGGGTGCCATGCTCTCCTTGGTCTCAATGTCGTAAGTCTTGATGCCATACTTCCACTGACACAGCCGAGCACAGAACCCAGTCACATCGGCCTCGTGTCACGGGAGACATCTCACTTCTCTGTAGGGCATGTCGACGTAATCCAGCGAGGCCGCCAGTGCTTCGTCGCGATCGAAGGACTTCCACAGCCAGCTCCTCTGAGAGAACCACGACAGCCAGAAATGCTGCTTGGCCGACATTGTTGGGTGTCTCAGGATGTGCTGCAACAGGCCCATGGGCATGCGTGGGTCGAGGCCAGCTGCAGATAAAGGTACACCGTGTCTGTGGTGTGCCGCTCTCCCGTCAAGTCACCAGGGGATCGTGCGGGCGTCATACACGGATCCAGAGGCGTGTCGTAGTAAGCACCTGCGATCGGGAACACCTTGCCGCCTGGACACAGACAGAAAAACGGGCAGGCGACGGGCTGACACACCACCGGCACTGTCATCGGCTCCTGCTGACCTGCTTCTATGTCGGACCACCCTTTGAACTCCTGCCAGAGCACGTGGCCACAGGCCCTGGCCAATGTTCCAGGCGGCCCCGTCAGATGTATGGCGTCGAAGTACGCACGAAGTTGACTACCGGCTGCCGCACCGATCAACGGGACGATACCACGCGCCGCATCTTTCTGCGCGCATTTGCTCAACCCTGACAACACAAACAAGGTGCCCAACATACGAGGTCATACATGGATGCCGTGTTGTCTTCTGCGGCTTGTCTGCCTGAGAAGTCGAGAGTCGCTATGGCGTGGGCCCATGGCTCGCCGAGGCGCGAATAGTAGAAAAACCTGGTGCCAGCCAAACCCATCAATTGAATCCACGCTGGTAGCAGAGACACACCTGGTGCTTGCAGCGGGGCTCGGTGTGTCAAGAGGGGTGGTGAGGTGGTGGGGGGCGACGAAGAAGGCCGCCCACGGTGTGTCGGCTGCCATCTGCTGGATTCGCCTCTCGACGGCGGGGGAGGGCTCGGGCTCGGGGCGGGTGGAGAGTCCGACGTCGCAGAGGACAGAAAGGTCGAAGACGGGTATCTTGATGTGGACGGGGATGTCGGCGGCGCACACACATACGGTTTGTTTGAAGGTCTCGATGGCCGACAGAGCCGCCAAAAAGTCGGTATCGAATGACATGCTCTCGAAGCGCACGCTCACATTCTTGAGGGAGTGGCAGCCTCGGTCGTCGAGAACGGTCTGCATGTCGAGACATGGACACACCTCATGGCAACATCGCCATTGCTTCCCTCCCTCCCTCCTCCCTCTGCCTCTGTACTTTCAGACCATCCAACCCCTCCTTCCACTTGCCGTACGCAAGAATACCGTCGTCTCCATTACGCGGGTCCCGCATGTCCAGCACGCCGATGTCCTCGAGCTGCGCCAGGGGGCCCGCCTGGCCCGCCTCTGCGACGGAGATCCGCGCGAGGGAACCAGCCAGGCTGTTGGGAGTGCATCGGAGGTCCTTCAGGCAGCGGAGGGACGGCAGCTGCCAATGTCGGTCGTGGCGATAAAAGTCGTGGTGGCCGATGCCCTTGATGGTCGAGAGGGCATCGAGGCTGGGAGGAGGGTCGAGGGGGGCGGGGAGGCCGTCGGCTGCAGCCTGCCGTCGGATGGAGGTGAGCTCGTCGTACTCATCTTCCTCGATGACAAGTGTCCTTCCGCCCTTGATGAATTCGATCGACTCCAGCGTGCCGCGTGCCGGCGGCCCTGGAGCCACCGCCGCGGCTCTCTGCTCCTCGCAGTGCCCCTCCACCAAGACGGCGATGATGTCGGTCCCCGCACTCAGCACAGCCTTGTGAAATGGTTCGTCATGCGCGTGGCTCAGCGGCGAGATGAAGCCCCACCAGTTTCCCCTGGTCGCCCAGTAGCCCCGTCTGCGGTCTGGGAAGTCTGGGAAGGGTTTGCGCGGGTTGACGCGGCTGTTCCTCGGGTAAATGAAGACTATGGACCGGAGCTGTGTGAGCAGCCGACCCAAAGCCAAGGCATCAGCGAATGCCAGCCCTGTCAGGCCGCACCAGAAGCGTCGCTCGGCCGTGTCGTAGGTGTCGACCACCAGGTTCAGGATGTGGGAGCCGACGTGTTTCCACAGCCGCCGGGGCAACTCTGCCGCGAGGTGGATGGACAGAAACGAGAAGACGCAACCGATCACAGCTGGCTGCACCGACACACCCACGCCACGCAAACAAGGGACGGTGCGGATTCCGGTGTTGGTCGTCGGCACTGGATTGTGCATCTCATCTTACGATCTGGATGAAGCGCTGCGCAAAGTCCCCCATGTCTATGCTGTGTGTGGCGTGCGCCGCCTGCTGCTGCTGTGCTGCTGCTGTTGTTGGCCATCAGCGTCCATCTCGTCCTCGCGGTGTGCGTCCTCGGCTTCCTCTGCCACCCGCTGCCTCTTCGACCCCTCACTCATCGACGGCGACGAGATCTGTCCAGATCTACGGGAAATCTATTCGGGGTTCGAGTTCCCGCAGACCCTGCCAAAACCCGTGACCCCGCAGAAACCCCTTGACCCCGCAGACCCTGCCAAAACAGCAAGAAAAAATCAGAATTAACTCAGGTGAGAAAGCGCGTGTGGCTGCTTCCTTTCTGATGTGCCATTCCTTGAATCTCGTGTACGTGTGTGCTGCAGGATTTCTGTCGTCACTTTGTGTGTGAGATGAAGCGCAACTTCGAGCAGGAGCGCGGCTACCTGGAGCGAGTAGATGGGACGTCCTACCGCATCAAGAAGGGCTTCGTGCCAAACATGAACGTCGAGGGACTCTTCTACGTCAACGACAAACTCGAGAAACTCATCCTCGACGAGCTCCGCAACTACTGCCGCGCCCCCTCCGACAGAGGCGGATTCCTGCCCGCTGTCAAGCAGATCGGTCAGCCAGCCGCACACGCACACGCACAAGCTCACACGCACATGCATTCGTTCGTTCGTTCTCCCTGCCTCCCTCCCTGCAGGCAATGTGGCGAGTCTGCCGGGCATCGTTTGTCGGTCCATCGGTCTGCCGGACGTGCACAGCGGCTACGGCTTCGCCATCGGCAACATCGCGGCCTTCGACATGAGCAAGCCGGAGGCCGTCGTCTCGCCGGGCGGCGTGGGCTTCGACATCAACTGCGGGGTGCGGCTCATCCGCACCAACGTCACCGAGAAGGACCTGGCGGACCGGAAGGAGCGGCTGACCCAGGCGCTGTTCGACCACATCCCTGTGGGAGTCGGTAGCGAGGGCATCATCCCGTGCAAGCCCAACGACCTGGAGGAGGCGCTGCAGCTGGGGGTGGACTGGTCGATGCGGGAAGGGTACGCCTGGCCGGAGGACAAGGAGCACTGCGAGGAGTACGGGCGGATGCTGGTGGCCGACCCCACCAAGGTGTCCAGCCGCGCCAAGAAGAGGGGCCTGCCGCAGATGGGCACACTCGGGGCAGGCAACCACTACGCTGAGATACAGGTGGGTGGGGCGGTGGCCTGGGGTGGGGAAGAGAGGGATGGGCGAATGAATGGATGGATGGATCGAAGGGGGGAGGCAGGCAGGGAGGGAACGAAACGAACACGTGTGTTGTGTGGTGTTTGTGTGGTGTCAGGTTGTAGACGAGATCTACGACAAGATGGCGGCCAAGAAGATGGGTTTGGATCGCAAGGGTCAGGTGTGCGTCATGATCCACTCGGGATCAAGGGGACTCGGACACCAGGTAGGTACACGCACACACACACACAGAGAGACACACAAAACCACTCCAGACACCACACCCACACAACGACATGACATCTTCCCTCTCTGCGTGTTCATTTGTTCGTCTGTGTGTCAGGTAGCGACCGATGCGTTGGTCGAGATGGAGCGTGCGATGGGCCGCGACGGCATCCAGACCAACGACCGGCAGCTGGCATGCGCCCGCATTCAGTCCACCGAGGGGCAGAACTACCTCAAGGCCATGAGCGCAGCAGCCAACTACGCATGGGTCAACAGGTGCGTGGCATGACGTCTCGTGGGCCCGCACAATGGCTTCCAGCTATCCGTCACATACATTTACCTGCCGTCTATGTGTGTGTGTCTGTGTGGTCTGTGTGTGTGGTGTCAGGTCGAGCATGACGTTCTTGACGCGGCAGGCGTTTTCGAAGGTGTTTGGCGCCTCCCCTGATGACCTCGACATGCACGTCATCTACGACGTCTCACACAACATAGCCAAGATTGAGGTGTGTGTGGGTGGCTGCACACTCTAGCAGCGACCACCGGCCACCTGATGAGACACTAACGGCCTATGTGTGTGTGTGTGTGTGTCAGGAGCACTTGGTTGACGGTCAGTTGCGTCAGTTGCTGGTGCATCGGAAGGGTTCGACCCGGGCCTTCCCGCCGCACCACCCGTTGATCCCGGTGGACTACCAGATGACGGGGCAGCCGGTGCTCATCGGCGGCACCATGGGCACCTGCAGCTACGTACTCACAGGCACCGAAAAGGGCATGAGGGAGACCTTCGGCAGCACGTGCCATGGCGCTGGTACCAATGAACGTTCGATCATGGGGAAGGAAGGGCTGATGCATGCATGGGATTGTTGGTCTCCGGGGGTGTTTTGTGTAGGTCGTGCGCTGAGCCGCAACAAGAGCCGCAACGAGTTGAGCTACGAGACCGTGCTGCAAAACCTCTACGACAGGGGCATATCGGTGAGTATCTTGTGCTGTGCCCTGCCCACACACGGACGCATTGCATTAAATGAACGACCTGACTGACGCACTCACTGGTTGTGTACATGTGTGTGCGGACGCTCTGGTTGACCTGCAGGTGCGTGTGGCGTCTCCCAAGCTGATAATGGAGGAGGCCCCCGACTCGTACAAGGACGTCACACAAGTCGTGCAGGTCAGCTGAAACACCCAGCCAGCTGCCCATGAAGGAATGGGTGGTCACTGGCAGCGGCGAAGTGTCTGTCTCTTTGCGTTTGCGTGTCTTGTGTGTGGTGTGCCAGACTTGTCATGATGCGGGCATCTCCCAGATGTGTGTCAAGCTGCGGCCTGTGGCGGTGGTCAAGGGCTGACCAATGAGATGATGTTGTGTAGATGACATCCATCGCATTCCATCCATCCATCCACCTAGTATCGATACATGAGCAGTGAGTGCAGTATGTTCTATTGATGGATGGACGCATCCACGCCTCCTCTTTGTGTGTACAGCCGAAGGGGTCATGCCTGCCTGCCTGACTGCCTGCCTGCCTGCAATCATTTTCCCTCAATTGCCTCTATGTCCTCGACGGGCGGCACGCAGGCAGGCAGTGTGTGCAGAAGTGCTTTTTATGGTCATGGGTGAATGTGTTTGGCAGTTTTGCTGCATCAATCATGTCCATGTCTGTCCATGATGACATGACCCCTGTCTGGCTTCAGGCATGCCATGCATGTGGGATACACGACAGCTGGAGAATCACTTGAGTGAGTTGCCGAGAGTGCGATACGCACATACAATCCTCACGCACACACACACACATGCAGCTGTCCGCAGCACCTCAACGCACCCCCCAGTGCTTTAGACCTTGTGGTCGGCGCCATGTTTGTGGTTGTGTGAGCAGCAGTGGGGGACAGTGGCTCTCGAGTCGCTGTGTGACCGGGGCAGTGGGGGGTCGACGGGCGGGGTCGCTGTCGCCGCTGAGCCGTTGAGGAGGTCGTGGCACTTGCGGTGCGCTGACGTCCCGCACTCTGATTTGCCCATCGAAAAGTCCACCTGACGAAAGGAAATACAGGGAGACAGAAGGGCGCGGGCGTGGGCGTGCCATTTCGTTATGAGGTGCCTGCCTGACAGGGGCTGTGCCTGCCTGTATGGTTGTGTGCAGGATGTTGTAGCTCGATTGGCAGATCTCCGTGGCCGTCGTCAGAATCTCACGGGCCAGCGGCTCCTCGGCTGTTCAAACCATTCGGAAGACACGAACACATAGAACTAACTGATGTATGTGGCACTGACTGCAGGGCAGGTGTGCGTCTCTCTCATCTCACCAGTGACGATGTGCACGGCGAGGGCTGGGTGGCCGATCGAGAGAGACCACACGTGCAGATCATGCACCTCACTGACACACCCACCCACCCACCCACACACACACAGAGAGAGTATGGACGGTTGAATGTGATGTGGCTTACACGACTCCCGGTATGGCGCTGAGGTCGCTTTGGAGGTCCTCGAGGTCGATCCCTTCTGGCGTGCCCTCCATGAGCACGTTGGTGGCCTCCTTGATGATCCCGAATGTGGTCCACATGACGAATATCGAGAAAATGAAAGTGCACAGGGGATCGGCCAAGTGCCAGCCGGGGTTGTACCTGATGGATTGACGCCTCGCGCATCCATCTGTTTGTGTGTGTAGGTAAGGTGCAGTGCAGTGCAGTGCAGTGCGGTGGGTGACCTACCATATGCACAATGCGGCGATAAGCACTCCCAAGCTCTGCAGGAGGTCGCCCAAGGCATGGATGTACGCAGCCTGACCATTCATTTACCAACACACACACAGACAGACATTAACTGACCAGCCCCCTCACCAGCTGGCTATGGATTGCCTGCTGTTCTCCTGTCGGTCGCTTACTTGAAGGTTCATGCTCCTGTGCTGCTGGTCTTTCTGTTTCCCACCGCCACCGCGACCCCTGCTGTGGTGGTGGCCATCGTGCTGCCCGTGGCCGCCACAGACATGTCCGCCTGCCCTCTTGCCGACGCCCTGACCGTTCTCCAGAATCGGCGACGACCGCTGAGACATGTTGGACTGCAAACAAGTGTGCACCACACAGACACAGAGAGAGCATATGAGTCCCCGTATGTGTGTGTGTGTGTGTGTGTGTGGTGTGGTTCATTCAGACCTCAGGGATGGCCGATGGGCCCGAGTTGGGTGATGGCATGTGTGGCGAGGTCCCCCCGCCGTCCCACACCTCCTCACTCACTGTCGACCGCCTGCGCACAAACACATCACATCCACACACATCTCACCGCACCGCCCACCACCAACAGTGGTGCCGTGCACTTCGCCCCCCTCTCGTGCCATATATTCTCGCTCACCAGTGCGATGTATCATCAGCAGAGAGGGGCATCCCCGGCCGAGACGGCGAGGGCGCCGACCGTGCTGATGGCGGCACACGCCCACCTCTCCCGCCCAGAACACTCTGCCCACTCTGTCCGCTGCTCTGGCCCCCGCCGCTGCTGCTGTTGTGTGAGCTGTCGTTGACGCCCGACGAGGGGTGGCCGTTGACCTGCTGGCTGCTGCTGTGGAGGCTGTCGCCGGCATGAGGGTGCACGGGGAAGGTGGGGGTGATGCCGACCTTGCCGCTCCGGTCGGGGTGGCCTGCTGCTGTGTGTGGTGGGTGATGGGCGTGGGTGCCATCCTCGTGGTGCTTGAGGTGGTCGGTGTGTGTGTGGGTGTGTGTGTGGGTGTGTGTGTGGCCGTGGTCATGGGAGTGGCCGTGGCACTGGTGTCCGATACCGTGACTGAGCAGACACAAGCAGACAGAGAGGGGTGGGTGTCCATCTTTAGAATGTTGTCTGCAGGCCAGCAAATGCGCACCTGTGTGTCTGCAGCACTTGTGTGAGAATGAGATTGACCACCAGGCCGATGAGCGCCTGACCAAACCACAAACCAACATCATGATAGGGCACACAACGTGATGGGATCGGTCCGCAATACCTACCGTGATTGACATGATCTTGCCGTCGACCGCCGTTGGGTTGATGGCTCGATCCACAGCCTCCCACAGCAGCCACGCTGACAACGATGCAGGCGGCAATAAGTGCATCCATCCATTCATCCATCTATCCACCATTCCGACCAACATGAGTGCATCGATCCCTGTCTGTGCGTCCCCCTACCGACCTGTAACGCCCCAAATGATGAACACGCTGACGAGGGCACCCAGGATCTCAGCTCGGTGATAGCCGAACGACAGGCTGGTCGTCCCCTGCTTGCTCGCCAACCATATGGCAAACAACCTGCACAGAGAAACAAACAAACCAACACAAACACAGACGGGTGCAAAACTAGAGAGATGCGTGTTTCTGCTTATGTGTGGTGGACCCGATAAGGTTTGATGCCAGATCTGACAGCAGGTGCGTAGCGTCGGTCATGAGGGCCAGCGAGCGGGCCAGGAAGCCGCCCACGACCTCCACAATCATGAACAGCAGCTGCGCCAACACAGGCACACACACATTGCCAAATGATAATGGGCGCAGATCGTCTAGCTGTCTTTGCTGTCAGTGCTGTGTCTTTGGCTGACGCATATGAGTGATGCGACGACCAGCTTGCGCGCGACGGCCGCGTTCTTGACGGCTGTTGAGTCCTGCTCTGCTGGCTTCACCAACAGCCGCTCTTCTGAAATCGGCATGATTGCACTTCAGATCCCGCTTCTGAGAAACGAGGAGCGTCAGCGGTTGGTTGGTTGGTTATTGTGTTTAACGAGACTCGTGTCTGTAACCCCGAGGGGATCCTGTCCAGGTCACGCACTAAACTAGCAGCATGCACATGCATAGAAGCATGCACACGGCCTGTCTCCCCATCCCACCCACCCACCCACTCGACACGCACGTGCCACCCTAT